TCCACACTCCTCTCGTATCACTACACATTCGGTCAATTCGGAGACATATGCGGAAAAAACAAAAGATCTCTGTACAATTATCGCTGATATCAATTTAAGAATTAGAATTCAATTTCTCATATACAAACACACAATTATATCGATTCTTTCGGTATGAGTAATATTAAATTGTTTTTTTTTTTTATATTATGGATATACAAAATAAAAAATATATAAATAATGATATAATATCTACTAATACCTATTTAGTCACATGATTTTATAGAATGTAATTTTATCGACGTACACATGTGTCTGAAAGAACAAAGTGTCTTTAATCAAATTGGCAAATCTCGCTATTATAATTGACGAAATGATCGCACTCTCCGTATGCTTGAAAAGTTCCTGATTTTCTATTCCACGCAAAAACGTCAAAAAAATTCAACGGCAGCGTTTCTCAGAAACGCGACGGACAGAGTCGGATAAATTATGGAGGAATCAGGGAAGTGTGAAGCCGGGAAGGAGGATCGACAAGCTAGAGAAATACATTAGGATCTCGGCGAAATATTTTGATATTGGACGAGTCGGGCACGAGCGAAAACTTATATCCCGCGCGATGCACGACCCCCCAGAGAGAGGTGTGTGCGCGCGCGCGGATATGTGTGTGTGTGTGTGTTTTATGCCGAGTGATAAAGTGAGGTAGAAAAATTATGGCCGGCATGCGGGACAACGATCGACGACGGCGAAATAATTTCGGTGTGCCTTCTGTGTCTTTTCATTTCCATGGAAACGACGTAGAGAGCGTTCGTCGGGATAGCGTACGTTCGACCGAAGTCTGAGCGCCTTACACGCACGAGTTCCCCGAGCCGCAATCAATAAGAAGTCGGGATTGCTCCAGCGATTGCTTCTCGAGCTGAATGGTGGTAGAAGGAAGGAAGTGGATAGAGAGAACGCGCAGCAGCCACGTGGGGTATACGCGAGCGAATAAAAGAAAGAGAGAGAGAGAGAGAGAGAGAGAGAGAACGTTCTGCATCTATCATCGTAAATAATAGAGCGAGGAAAAATAACTGAGCATATGTACTATATTCCTACGATAGTATTCGCGGCCGAAAAAAAGAGACTGTCTCAAAGTCCCTCGCAATCGCGAACGTATAGCATCGTCGTATTTCAATGGACGAGTGTCTTTTTGTCGTCAAGATTCATCGAAGCGCCCGTGATTCCTTATCGAGCGAATGTACGTGCCAGATCTCGAGCAAGAACCACTTGCGACGATGATGAATTTCGAGATGAAGAAATTATTGACGAATTCGTAGAAATGTCTATTGTACAAGTAAGTAAAAATTTTCTGCTAAAATTTCTTCGATAATCAACAAAATTATCGATTCTTTTCTATCATCGAATCAGTTTTAATTATATTTATTGATATTGACAAATCTTTAGATATGCACTGTCTTTATTTATTACAATAGAGCTGAATTTACGTAAGATTAAAAAATTCTTCGAGAACTAATTTTATTTTTTTATCAAAAAATGCTCGATTTCTTTATTATTTATATCTATCGTGCTTACTATCTCAATGTACCCTTAGTCACATGTACTTTTTAATTCTATATTTAGAGCCAAATTCTTAAATATATATAAAAAGTTTACATTCAAATATCATCAACAATAATCGTGTGTTTTAATCTCAGTCTTGGCACGTAATTAACAGGAAGTTCATTTGCACTTGCGATCCAAGTTTTTAGCAAAAATCCGGGTTAAAATTACGAGCCATCCGGGAGCCACATAAACTCGTTAAAAGCTAAACGAAACGAGATACCATGACGTGCTGCTACGTGTTTCGCGCGCATCCTTCATGCTGATCGACGCGCGCTCTCATTATAAGCCTGGGTATGAACAAGGGCGGGCAGGAAAGTCCGAGAACTGTTTTACGAGGACAAGATCCCAGAGGAGGAATAGAAAAGTTAAGTGTTCGCAAACTTTCTTCCGCGTCCTCTTTCCTATCCTCCGTTTCCCTCGCGCTCGTGATCCCTCGCGTCGTTTTCATCTACGCTACTAGCCGCGAATGATCCGTTCCATCGCCACCAAGTTGCGACAATTGACGATATCGGGCAAAGGAAAAGCACCCTTTTGCCGTTGCCAACCGAGGAATCGAAGACAAATAGGAGGGATTCCGCGGGAATAAAACCGCAAGTCGACAGTGTGTTCTTCGATTTCCTATACATAGCCTGAACTGTGATCTTCGATTCTATACTTCAATCGGTATCTTACCGAAGGAAAGAGGAAAGATCGTTTCGATAGAGCGTTCTAGATTATATCAGTCTACTTTACGAGATGGCAATTCCCATTTGGCATCATAAAGTTGTTTTTCTTGATTGTAACGCGAGTTTCAAAGTCGCGATATGATTCCGAAATAGCAATCGACAAGAAAGTCACTGTTAACACATTCGCACACACATACATTTTATCGACCATTTAATAAATTTATTCCAAAAATGCAAAACAATAAATATCGAACTCTATTATTAAGAAATACAAATTGATCCGAGAAATAAGTTAATTTTTATAGCGTCAATATTTCAATGAGTCTAATCACAAAAGAGTATTTATTTCTTTTTAATTAAAGCCTCCTTACATTACGCAACCATCACGTTTCAATAATATCGATTAATTTTGCAAGAGTAAAACACTTTATACGTAATTCTACTACCATTGAGACGTTCAAGCCCATCCAACCTAGTCTGGTTCAACCGCGGCTGATATTCTGCTCTCTTATACGACGTCACGTTCTGTTGACCACTATCTCCGAAGAGTATGCTACGTGCGCATCTAAGCGACCAATAGCTATACTGTACCGAATACCTACCTACCTACGTATCGTCAACTTTTACCAGCGTCCGCTTTCGCTTCGGTCTCTCGAGATTCTCGCCAAGTAAGAACGCACAGATTCAAAATCGTATTCGGGGACTTCAGCTTCGATTCTCGGGCGCGATCTTCCGAGGCTCACGTATCTTAAGTAAATACAGGGACTTTCTTATAGCAATAAAGACCGAGCATGCGTTTAAACTAAAGCGTAGTATTATGTAATTTCCTGACCAAAAACATTAAGCATATTTAATAAATTATGATAAATTATATTAACACCAAAAAAGATTTAATAAATTATTTTATTATTAATTATTACAGATTTGATTAGAATTTAATGTAAGCATTTTGCTTTTGTAAATGCTCCAATTTACTCTTAATTTATGCTCCAATAATTTATTAATTTATACTTTATAATTTTGACTGAAGCAAGAAGTCGCATTGTAAGCAATCGCATTGTATATTAAAAACGATATAAGAATGTTTTTCATAAAGATCAAAAGATCTTTATTCTCTCAATGATACTGATTATTATTATAAAAAATGGAAATAAAAAAATAATATGAGATATAAAGCATAAAATTAATTATTATGAAGATATAAAATTGATATATTAATGTTATATAATTAATAAAATCTAAATAATATATGTTAAAAAAATGTAATGTGCGTGTAAATAATAATTAATAATATGTATCTCTTCTCTCAATACATTATATATTTATCTTGTCTCTTAGATAATTCGCGAAGTGTGTAATATAATATACGCATATATTTTTGTGGCGTTACGATGTGATCCGACGGCAAATAATACTAAGAGCTATTAGTTGAGCTAAAGCTTTAATAACGAATGAAAATGCTTCATATTCTCGTCGTTTAATTAATTCTTTCCGGCCGCAATGTGACGGTGAAAAAGTATTTAATTACTCTACACATGGTGCGTAACTTTTATGTAATCGTTAGCCGTATAGCTTCACGCGGTAACATTAAAACATTACAATGGTTATTATTCGGTCATATCCATTAAAAAATATTATCATAATCACGATATAATGTTGGACGTAACGGCATTTATCTGAGAGAATGAATTAATGTAACAAATTAAAAATTTCTTTTTCCACATTCCTACAAAAATTTTGTGATTAAAACGTGGCGTGTATTGTATGACTAAAATAAAGATAAATTTGCAATGTCATCTCACGCATTAGCGTTATTTTTTCAAACAATTTTTATTTGAAAAGAGCTGAATTTTTACAAATGAAGAAATGCATTAGATTATTATCTTACTCGAGCCTTGATGTCTGCATAGCAGAAACAAATTTGTCTTTCATTATTTAAAATAAAAGGTCGCCATTAACACAGCTTTTCTATTACAACTAATTTAGCTAGAGTACGATTTATGCCAACATGCGTAATGAAATTATTTATATATTTGCTTTCTGTTCATTTTCTTGTAATGTTCTCTAATCAATCCAGATATTCTCGTTAAATACGCTCTCTTCATTTGACTTGCCCGTTTCATAATGGAATATCTTATTTGACTCGCTGAATCATGTGCGCACTATAACTTTGTGTGCACGTGAAACGTAAATATACGAATTATACTATTTGAGCATAGATCGAGTTTATTTATTTTAACAAAACGTAACTACATTAAACAGATTAAGGGAATGCATTAACTCCGCACGACATTCTGCCATATTCCTCAGCAAGTCGTCAAAAGTTTAAGCCGATAATTAATGTGTTAGTACCGTAACACGGTTAATGCAATGCCGGCTGTTATAATTAAATTTAGAACCAGATAGTGTGCACAAGGTAGTTAGCCGCAACCTACCTACAATGCGGCCGAACACAATGCGACGCACTGCACAATGTTATGTTCGTCAGATACCAATCGCGACAACAATATATCTCGCGCATTACCGACGTCACGTGAATCACAATACAATTTGTAACTCGTGGACGTGTGCAACTCATCTAATCGAGTCTCGGATAATTTCTGCCATTTAGCTCGCACCCACGAACGGAAAAATTGTTCCTTACGAACACGGGGACGCGATATACGCGAGCGGCGTCCGCGAGCGAGAGAAAATATGGGGGGGAAACGTCGACTAACCAATGACATTCTACTTCGGTAAAGATTTTATCGGACTCACCGGTAATCTTGATGTGGTAAGGTAACTGAGCCCGCCACGTGTCCTGCATTTTCCGATCGGGCGCGACGCATCGATATTCTCCAGCCTCCTGGTACACCACTCGGCTTAGGGCGAGAGGTCCGGGCCCACCTACCGGATCCATTCCCGGTCCATGGCCCCAACAACCGCCGTCGCACTCAAGGGTCACCGCGCCGCCGATCTGCACTTCCATCCTTCGGGAATCGGTTGCCTCACCGTTCAGCGCCTCCGCCTCGGTCTCCATATCTGGATCATCTAAATGCCATTAATTTAAATCTCTCGACGCGCGATAAACTCGAGAGTCGAACTTAAACGTGCCGCCATTCTCGTATACACTAATAAGCGAAATTAAATAATTCGTAATGAGGACATAGCGCTCATCTGGTGCTTTTAAACCTTTCCTCTAGTGTACGGATTATCTTTCTGTATTTTGCAAAATATAGAAAAATAACATGATGAAATATATGATTTGATAATAAATAAATCATAACGCTTTAAAATAAGATTCTAATTTATACATGTTTGCATTTAAAAAATTAATATATTATTCATACATTTTTTATTATTAAGTACATATTGTTCAAAATTTTGCGATTGTACAAACATAATTTTTTAAAAGAAAATGCTATTTCAAATGTGTCACATATTGCATAATTTTTACGAGCCATAATGCATTTAAAGATTTCCGGCATATAATCACTTTTTATCATTATTTCGAATTGTTGATTCGGTATCATCCGTTCATCGTCATCGATATCAAAGAATTACTCTAGTATCAGAAATCAGCGGCACGTACGGGGGATAAAGTTGAAACAGAATCTCCACCCTTACGTGCTGGACTCGACAAAATCTTTTCCACCGCGACATTACGCCGCGACGTACTGTCCGTTCCAACTTCTACTTTTCCTCACCCCCGACATCCTTTTCCGATTCCACCTATGGAATGATACGGCTACGATAGTTTGCTCTCCAGCTAGCGCTATGTCCACAGTTACAGAGAAGCGAGATAGGAGAGGAAGGACGAGAGAGTGGATGAGGGTGTGTGCGAGGATCGTGTCTCTGTTCGAGAATTAGAGCCGGACTGCTACGGTGGAATTCGGCTGAGAAAGAGAAAGAAGCAGGGGACGGGTGAGCGTAGCAGTCCTTTGAGTTAGCAAGCTGATCCTCTGGCTCATCCTATAGCAAAACAAAGGGATCAAAGTGGTGCGGATGCGTAGGAGGCTTTTACTTCCTCTCTTACGCTCGCTCGATTCTCGACTATACCTCGTTTGTCTTGTAGTTTGTTCGGAATTTTACAGCAAACATCTCTACTGCGGCGCTTTAACAAATATGGGAAAGAGAAAAGAGAAAGGAAAGCCCGATGATCAAACCGGTAATTTGACATTTTTCGTTAGCTAGCATTAGTTCTTTTCTCGACCATTCTCGTTATCTTCAAATTTGATATATCCGTTTTCTCTTCCGCGGCTTGTGATCGTTCTAAATCTTAATGCGATTCGCGTGCGCTAATGCGATTAAGAATCTCATACACTCGTCCGTCTGTGATCGCGTTATCTCTAATTACTTTGATATGCCTTTCGTGTTCCTGCTAATTAAATTATGCGCATCTAAGATGCTTTGTTGAATCCAACGTTTGAACATTATAAGAGAGATAATTTGTGTTTAAAATTACAAAATAACTCTCGGATAGAAACAGTTTAATATACGATAATTTCTTCTAAGATTACATAAATTTTTATATATATGCATATTTAATTATTATCAAGCATTTAATTTTATTAGTATATGAAAAATATGTTCGCGTGCGATAATGTTGATTTCCGGCTCTGTTAAGGTGTCCCTTTAAACTACGTTCTATCTGTAGACTGTCTACAAGCCGGCAAAATTAGCGTGTCGGTTTAAACCCGCCGTGACGTTATCCGGCGGATAAGTAATCCAGGAGGAGATTCGAACAGGACATAGTAGCAGTGTAATCGATAATTCCCACGAAGGAGGATGGTTGGTTTATAGGTGCTCTCGAGCCATCTAAATTGCGTAGAGATTAGGTGCTCGGAAACTCGTATCCAGCATCGTCGGTCGAAGGAGCAGGCAAGAGCGAGCGAGATAGAGATAGAGAGAGAAGGATAGGGGGTTAGAGGAAGGACAAGAGAACAGGAGAAGAGGGACGAGGACCGCGAGTTTGAAATGCAGGGAGCGCATCGCCCTCTGGTTATAATGGCAAGATGGAAGGAATGGGACTAGGTAGGAAATTTGCAAATTTTCACGACGGGGCACGGATAATTTCCGGTTGGCTCGGCGGTTTCCGCTCTTGACAAATGACTGTGGTATCCGGTTATTGGCTGCAGCGACGACCCCCTTCGCATTCCGAATCAAGGAGAATGTCTCTTCAAGTGTTATCAAATGCGCAGGGGGTAGACAAATCCACAGCCAAAAAATGTAACTGCGATGTAATTATCTTTCATCGTCTGCTATTATTATTTTATATTACATTTTTAGCGCTGTATGATATTATTTTAAATTACTAATATTTTAATTTAATAATATTTTATATTATTAATACTATTTTAATTTATAAATTGCTTAATTTATTGAAATATTTATCTTGAGAAAGAAATCTATATCTCTTAATAATACCTGGTATATATATAAAAATAGTATAAATAAATTTCTGTAAAAAAAAAAAAAATAAATATATTTCAAAAAACTTAAATGAGGGTGTGTGCGAGGATCGTGTCTCTGTTCGAGAATTAGAGCCGGACTGCTACGGTGGAATTCGGCTGAGAAAGAGAAAGAAGCAGGGGACGGGTGAGCGTAGCAGTCCTTTGAGTTAGCAAGCTGATCCTCTGGCTCATCCTATAGCAAAACAAAGGGATCAAAGTGGTGCGGATGCGTAGGAGGCTTTTACTTCCTCTCTTACGCTCGCTCGATTCTCGACTATACCTCGTTTGTCTTGTAGTTTGTTCGGAATTTTACAGCAAACATCTCTACTGCGGCGCTTTAACAAATATGGGAAAGAGAAAAGAGAAAGGAAAGCCCGATGATCAAACCGGTAATTTGACATTTTTCGTTAGCTAGCATTAGTTCTTTTCTCGACCATTCTCGTTATCTTCAAATTTGATATATCCGTTTTCTCTTCCGCGGCTTGTGATCGTTCTAAATCTTAATGCGATTCGCGTGCGCTAATGCGATTAAGAATCTCATACACTCGTCCGTCTGTGATCGCGTTATCTCTAATTACTTTGATATGCCTTTCGTGTTCCTGCTAATTAAATTATGCGCATCTAAGATGCTTTGTTGAATCCAACGTTTGAACATTATAAGAGAGATAATTTGTGTTTAAAATTACAAAATAACTCTCGGATAGAAACAGTTTAATATACGATAATTTCTTCTAAGATTACATAAATTTTTATATATATGCATATTTAATTATTATCAAGCATTTAATTTTATTAGTATATGAAAAATATGTTCGCGTGCGATAATGTTGATTTCCGGCTCTGTTAAGGTGTCCCTTTAAACTACGTTCTATCTGTAGACTGTCTACAAGCCGGCAAAATTAGCGTGTCGGTTTAAACCCGCCGTGACGTTATCCGGCGGATAAGTAATCCAGGAGGAGATTCGAACAGGACATAGTAGCAGTGTAATCGATAATTCCCACGAAGGAGGATGGTTGGTTTATAGGTGCTCTCGAGCCATCTAAATTGCGTAGAGATTAGGTGCTCGGAAACTCGTATCCAGCATCGTCGGTCGAAGGAGCAGGCAAGAGCGAGCGAGATAGAGATAGAGAGAGAAGGATAGGGGGTTAGAGGAAGGACAAGAGAACAGGAGAAGAGGGACGAGGACCGCGAGTTTGAAATGCAGGGAGCGCATCGCCCTCTGGTTATAATGGCAAGATGGAAGGAATGGGACTAGGTAGGAAATTTGCAAATTTTCACGACGGGGCACGGATAATTTCCGGTTGGCTCGGCGGTTTCCGCTCTTGACAAATGACTGTGGTATCCGGTTATTGGCTGCAGCGACGACCCCCTTCGCATTCCGAATCAAGGAGAATGTCTCTTCAAGTGTTATCAAATGCGCAGGGGGTAGACAAATCCACAGCCAAAAAATGTAACTGCGATGTAATTATCTTTCATCGTCTGCTATTATTATTTTATATTACATTTTTAGCGCTGTATGATATTATTTTAAATTACTAATATTTTAATTTAATAATATTTTATATTATTAATACTATTTTAATTTATAAATTGCTTAATTTATTGAAATATTTATCTTGAGAAAGAAATCTATATCTCTTAATAATACCTGGTATATATATAAAAATAGTATAAATAAATTTCTGTAAAAAAAAAAAAAATAGATATATTTCTAATAACCTTAATTTTGCAAAGAAATATATGTTATTTTCCAAAGCTTTATAAAGCACAATATATAAAACAAATAAAAAAATATACATATTCACTAATATTCAACACACGCGATAATATTTTATAATATCTATTTTTAATTAAATGATTTTATATCTTGTTGCCTACTTATTTCTTATATTGACTGTGATAAAATCTTTATGTTAATAACAAAAATAATGTCGATCATGTGACTAAAGAAATTAATACCAATAGGCATAAATATCGTAGAAATCTTGATTTAGAAAACTATTTAGCAAACCAAATATTTCTTTGAAATCTTTTCGCATATATCTTTACTTCTTTCCTTTTTTTTTTATCAGACCAAATGCATTTATTAGCCTGAGATGTGTTCTCGCTCAAATGCGCGAGAAATCCTATCTATCTTTATTAAAAGCGACAAAGTGGCGTGACAACGATTTACTCACAGCGAACATTGAGAAAATATCCGATGCTGGTGAAAATGCCGAGCATATGCCGTGTGTAGCACTTGTACCAGCCGCTCTCGGCCCGAGTGATTTTTGTGAAGTTCAACCATCCGTCATCGCTCTGCTCTACGGGGGGCGGTCCATTGTCTGAAACACAAGCGGAAAGCTGGTGGATATACGAATTAACGCGCTGGAAACAGCACGCACGGTCCGCGGATTTACGGTAACGTCGTCGCACAGTTAGCGTCAGCCAAGCGAGTCGGCTCCTCTCTGTGTAACTGATTTCGCGACATTTTTCATAGAGCTGCTGCGCACATAATTCGGTAATTAATTGCTTGAAATTGATTATTATCCAGAAAAGAAAAGAAATAAATAAAAATTTCAGTGTATATTTCATTTTGATTTAATATGCCTATTTACGTGACAAGATTGAGTTTGTACACAAACCTATTTGTTTCCTGTGCGAATGTATAATGATGTTGACATATGTACATGTAATATATAATATAAACATATATCGTTTTTGACAGAATATACACAATATATACGGTGTCTTACTGACGGTAACGATTATCTTAGTACGTAGACATAATAATAATTACATAAAAAGTTATTTCTAAAAGAAATTATATATCGCAAAAATTTTAATGCGATTCTATCTTCCTTAAATTATTCCTGAATCGTGATACTTTTATAATACAATGACACTTATCCCATCGAGTAATCTAATTATGCCAATTATAAAACGTATCCTTTTCGCAATTAAAGCCACTTTAGCAAAATTAAAATTGCAACGACTAGAATTGTCTGCTTATTTTCAATGGTTTAAACTAAAAGAGAGACAAGTCGGCAAGTCACTCATTTGAATTCATATAATAATTAAGATAATTACGCAATATGTCAGTTTGGAGCGTGACGCGGGACGGGATTAAAAATTTATTGCTGATCAAGCGCCATGTGGTCGCTGAGTTTCGAAATGAAAATGATCGAACTGGAAAGGAACAATGAGGGCGGAAAGAAATGCCTGAGAGGACATTTGTTCGACTTATTCATAAGTACGGAAGTGGTTCCGAGAGGGCCGAGGGTATCGATAGAAATTTCGCTGCCCTTTCTTTCGCCGCTAAACTTTCATCCAGCCGTAGCCCATTTCTTCCCCCGCTATTTCGGCATTGTACCATCATCCCTCCGCCAATCCCTCGCCCTCGATCTCGTTGCAACGAAGCCAAGGATTCGATGCAGCTGTCGGATTCGCTAGTTGAAAGTATACTCTCGCGAATGTGGAACTACCTTGGCCCGGGGAACAAAGGAGGAGTGTAGTCGGAAGACACGCTCGTGAAAGGTTACATAGAGAAAGAGCGGATGCGGGGAAAGATATCCAGGAAAGAACTGTAGCCGAAAGAGAGGATGGCACGTATCGCGGCCAGATACGGAGTTTTGTGGTGAAACTTTTATATGGGCCGGCCATAATCACGAGAGGGGATGTAGTGGTGGGTTATTTTACTAAAGAGGCCGCTCGCCTCCACGCACGCTGCCAAAGCGTACGCTCGATTGTGTTAACGGCGATCTATAGTGGTGCCCCGGCGAACTCACCGAGATGTCGTATCGTTTCGCATGAAATAAACCCGAGCCGTGACTTGGTCCAAAAAGCAGGACATTCCCGGTAAGCCCGGCTGGAATTCGACCAATTTGGCTAAAAAATAAACGAAGCCGACTCAAAGTGGATTGAGATGAGCGCTATGCGAATAATTTTCTACTAAAATTATAAATAAAGAAAGATTTTCGTTATGGATCTGCGTTTTGTTTCGCATATTACCGTGCTTTTATTAATTTATTAATGTCTGGGATCTTTCAATCATTTTCTGCATTTATTTGGAAAAATTAAAATATGCTATTAAAAATTCATAAAATTGCGAATGTATAACAGCATCCGCAAAGTTTTCTACATATATCATAGGAATCTTGGGACCCCTCGCATTGCACACCACCTCCGAATAAACATGATTGTATAAAGATCGACTTCCCCTCAAGCGATTTCACACAGCTGACGCACTCGTTTCTTCTCGCAAAATGTTTCTCTGCGTGCAACGTATCGGTGTGATAGATCGCCCGACAGAACCATGATATATTATTTTCCCGTTCTTACTTTGATCTTTGTTTGAAAGTTACCACCCGACACACGTTACACACACAGGATGTCCGGAATATACACCGATTGTTGAATAACCATCGAATTACGCGTTCGAGAATCCCAACCGACTTATTGTTAATTCTAGCTTAATTATTTAAATTCAATCGTTTGTCTCAAAGTAACCCGCGGCTTTTGTGAAACGATGTTGTAAATTTGCGTCCGATTATTCGTTATACGATGCAGAGAATCGGGAGAGTCCGAATTTACCCTCTCTTTCTACAAAGGACGCTTTGAAGAAGATGCGAACGTGCTTTCTGGAGGCATGCGGATTGGGACGTTTAATAAGAGCAAGCGTACCAAAAAGAAATTGGGAATGAGCGGCGGTGAGTTTGGGGGGGAGGGAGGAAAGGTTTGCTAACGGCGAAGGCATTGCCCGGAGCGGGTACGTGCTCCAAAGGATATTAAAGTATTTTAATTGCAGCGGATCTCGCGGAACGCTGGAAGGATTTATTCGAAATCACTCGATTGAGTCTATGAATAGGGATTAAGCTTGGCCCCGGCGATGCGCGCCGTCGCGTCGAGCGAATTCCAGACGTCAGAAGAGTGGAAGGCAGAAATAATTGAATATTTAATAGAATAACTCTCGCATATATAGCCGTTTCTCCCATCGCAGTCGCGCGGCGTCATCCGTCACGACGACGGGACGTCGATTTTTCTGTCACGTTCTGTGTGCCGGTGTGGCTGCCGATTAATTATACAGTCTGCCCGCGCGTAATACGAAGACAGAGACGACTTTAATAAATCTAGTTATTTCGTAGCCCGTGCACAAAAATAATTATTTCACCAATCCGTGGTACATTGTATAAAAAACTGCGATTTCCCGCCCGCGGTAGAAATATTGATACAGGCTGGAAGTATAGGCTTTCTAGAGCAAGATTGGAGCAATATGCATCAAACGAGATATATCAGAGATACTCACTGCTGAAATGTTATAGTCGCACAAACGGTTATATTGTCTGTATCAAAATTTAATTAATTTAACAACGAAGTGCGGACTGGATTATTCTCGGAGATTATAATTTGCAGAAATTATTAAATTAAACAAATAATTAATATCACAAACACAACGTGAAATGAACAGCAAGAGTATATCATTATCGCTATACATTAAAAATATTTTTATATATTTTAGAGACCGCGTTATGTAAATTGTGTTTATACGCAAATAATTACGTGTATAATATGCACGTGTATAAATTATGAGTATAATATGTGAGTTCAAAAGTTTTAATTTTATCTTGATTAAATACGAAGCGTAAGATTTGTATGCACACATGACTAAAAGAAATACTATAGAAAGTTGCAGCATCGCGAACAAAGTTCTGTTCTTGTTGAACTTATTGAAAGTTTATTTCTCATGTATAAAGTTATATAAAAAAAGAAACGCGTAAAAAACTTCCACGCACACCGAGTGCCTAATTATCCTCCCATCGCGATATAAGAAATAAGAGAATCCATGATACAAAAAGTCACAGTATGTCAGACATACAGCCAAATCGTTACTTTAAAGCAGTATTTGGCAATAATTCTTGTGGAAATCGCAGTGCCTTCTGACGTTTGGTAATAACAGGTCGTCCATCATAGTTCTTATCACTCGTACGCGGCTGATCGCAGCGGAAAGTGACGGCTGCAGCTGTTCTCAGCATTTTGTGTAACTCAATAACGAGATAAACGAAACTACACAAAGTCCAATTTCCCGAATTTTCAGATTCTAGATTAATAATGTAGTTGCTTTTATCAATGTTCAGAAAACTGATACACTTCATTTAATTTATTCTGCAATGTAAATATGCCATTTATGACAGAGTAATTTCATATTATTCATTTAATATTTAATATTTTAGCATTTTTTTCTAATGTAAAATTATATTAACACAAAACTTTCCGTGATGATATATATATAACAAGAGTTTATATTAATATGCTTTCCTCAATATTATAATAAAATTTAAATAAATAATATTATATGTGTACATACACAGACACATATATGATTATTTAAATCCAAACACAAAACACATCAAGTCTATAAATCTTTATATCTCTCTTTTCAGAGTAATCATTTTTATACGTCTTTCGATTCTACTCGAATCAAATCAAATAGTGTAGAAATATACACTTTATTTTCTAGATATTTCTCTCGTACGACTTTGGCGCGTCAAGAGAAGTACAGTTTTGCTTGAAGTTTTAACGGACAATAAATAACTCAAAGCACACAGAGACGGAAAGACGATCGTGATTCATTCGAGATGTGAATGGAGCGCTATGAGCAAGACTATCGAAACTCGAAATTGTTATTCGCGATTGTGATTTACGTCAGTGAGTCCGATACTTCATCATAACGGCAACGAGCTGCGTCGTCAACGAATTTCTCGTTTTAGTGCCTGCTCGTGCTTTTTTGATTAATTCAGGAGAAATTGTAATTTTTTTTCATCGTATAAAGTTGATCGAAAAAGCAGTCTTGCGTAAATACGTGGATCAGACTAAATAAAAACGATTAAAAAGATGTTTCTTAACAAGCAGAATACGAACGTGGAAGGGCGGATTAAAAAAGTTGGTTGAAAAGCGATTTAATCGGCCACGTTAAACTCGAGCTGCTTTTTCGAGAAAACGCTCGGCGCGCGTGCAACACTAATCTTATAAAAACCATTAGAAAAGTTGATTCTTTCTATTAATTATAACGGTGCAAAATCTGTTGAATGGAAAGAATAGTATTAATCATATTTAAATATAAAAGAAACAGAGCTATTTATTTTAATTTAATTTCGATTATTTTTGCATGAAATGTCGGTCAAAATGATAAGCCATAAAAATTATAAGCCGTAGAAATTATAAACCGTAATAAAAATCTTTTATGATATAATATAAATTTTAATGCTTTAAATATGACTATCGTGCTTTATGTTTTGGATTGATAATCTATTTTAAGAAGACTATCTAGCGCAAGGTAATCGATTAA